CACTAGAAAATAGCATTTCAGCTTATTTATCAGGATCCCACTTTATTTAGTTCCCCAGATATAATGAAATGTTTAATACATTGAATAACTGCATCTCTCCATATATTCCCCATCTTCTATTACTTCAATTATATCTCTCTTTTTAGGTCTGGAAGTTTCCTCAGGAGTTCAAGAATCTGCATCTCCTCCCAGCTTCAGTAGGAGCACTGTTAGCACTGCTCCTTAAAAAGACAAGTTAAAATTTTCAGAATATGGAGCCTCGGATTTTGCATTTTGACAACGCTGTAACAAATGTCATAGGAAGAAGAAAAATAATTTGTTCACACATAAGAGTTTTCACAATGTTAACATAATTGTCATCTCTACAAATACAAGGTACTATGGACCCTGAAAACATCAGAAAAATATGATTTTGCAGTTTCTTCCTTGGTGTTTGCTTCTAAAAAGAGTTAGGAAATAAAAAAGGGAGAAAAAAGTAGAAATAAGAAAAAAATACTGTATTTTTGTAAGTAAAAAGTAAATACTTAACAGAAATATTTCAAATTTATTTTTTTATAATGAGCAAGACAGAATAGCAAAAGCTTTTCAAAATAAAATTCCAACCAATCCTGCTAGTTGTGGTTTTCCTATCGATTATCATTGAACCAGTTTAAATAAACACCATCTACCTGGGCTGAGTGGTGATTCAGACAGATATCCAGTTCAGATGAAGCCATCTACAAAGTGTCTGCTCAATAAAGGTAAGAAGGATGTGCACCTGTATTTTCCCTGAAAGTCACAAATATTCCCAGAGATACCCTCTAAAGCATCTCTCTTTTCCCCTCACTTTTTCTCACAGTTTCTTTTCCAGTTCTGTGGAACAGCATGAATCACAATAGCATTTACTACTTTTTTCCAAAAACATAGTATTGCCATAGCAACAGATAAAGTGAGTTTGTTGTGCTTTTTTAAGTCTAAAAAAAGAGTGCATATGCACATCAGCTCCTGTGGTCACCCTGCAATGTATGAAATGAGTATTGGACTCATATGAACTCATATTCCCATCTAGAATTTTCTGAAGAGGGAAATGGGAGTTTGATCTCCTGAAGATATAATTTAATCTGTTCAGGCACAAGAAGTCATATGTGTATGATTCTTACCACTAGTTGGTGTCGCCTTTTGGTTCAAATTTAAACCCAGTTATGTTCAACTGCTCTCAGACATCTCACAACTGCCATCTTGCAGCTGCAAGTTGGCTCACAGAATCTGTCTCATTGTAGATTAAACCCTGAAATTTGAAGCAACTGCTGGATGAACAACTGATGATGCATCTACAGGCCAGATTTGGGTTTGGATTGTACAGATGGGGTTAATTTTTAATTGCAGCTAGAGTGACAGTGCTTAACCCATTACAGGCAGCAGTGCACATAGACCAGCGGGGTCTTCCTGAGATAAATGGGAGGAGGGAAGAATCAGTTCATCAGAATAGCTGAGTGCAGTCCATTTACATACCAGTTCACAAAGTGAAGATTTGGCTAGGGTGGTTTTGGTCGTATTATTTTGATGGTGCCAGCATTTCATATGCAAAAATGCAAAAGAAGTCATTGGGCCACTTGAAATGCAATGGTGCTGCTCTTGACTGCTACAGGGACAAGGTGTAAAACAAAGAGTGAACAATGATGAATGTCTGTTTAATTCCCTTTTACATTTCTCCTTTTGCTTTATTACAGCAAATTTGATGTAAGTATCCCTGAAGTCATATTAATAAATCTTATGCTGTCTGCCAAGAGTCTGCCTGGAAGCATTGTGCACTTCAGGGAGGTGTTTTGCTACTACTTTTCCACAGGAACTTCTGTTTTCACCACAAATGCTGTTCAATTTCCTATAATTTCTGTACCAGATGGTATTGTGGTTGTCTTGGACCTGGACCAATTGTGTTGTAAGAATTTATCCATTTTTTTCCTTACTTACATGAACTTCCTAACCGTGCTGTCAGGCTGGTGTCAGAGGCCCGTGATGAAGTATTACAGAAGTACTTTAGATATAACCTACCCAGTAGCTTCAGAAAGCGTTTTTGGCAAATCTGTGGCTGCAACATTCCTTGTGACATAAAGTTTCTGCAGTATGCTGATTACTGGATAATTTAGGAAGTTTTAATTTGTTTTCAAATCTGTTTTCTGCTAAGACCCTACCTTCCACTGCTATTGATATATATTGATATATAGGATATCCTATATCCTGATATAAAGGATATCAGTAATTATATTATTATTATTATTATTAATATTAATTTTATTACTATTAATAATAATAACAATATAGTAATTATCAGATATAAGTAATTTTGAATTAATCTCAATCTTTTCATTAATTTTTATTCCCAATTTTAATCCACATAAAAAAAAGTTTTGTGTGCTATAAAATGGACTTCAGATTTACATTACCATTTCCTAATTTCCAGCAAGGGTAGTAGATGACATCAGGTAGAAGAGAACGAGAAAATATCTGAGATCTGGGACATCAGTATTTTATGCTAAATACAGGGGTAACAAATAACATGAAAGTCAGGACAGAGTGTATTGAACCGACAACTACTGCACTTAATCTGCAACAGTTGAATTAGCTGAATGACATATCATTAACTGAAATACCATATAAAGTGTGATCGCAATGATTTTTAATGTATTTGGGGTTTGTCCTTTTTATGGAAATGAAATTGAACAGAAGTTCTCTTCTGTTTCCAGAAGTCTAAACAGAGATTTATTAAGAAGCTTCCAGCTTACAGATATGCAGTTCAGAGACTGAAGGATAAGGATTTAGATAAAAGGCAGATGTGGGACCCTTTATGGTTGAATGTTTCTCTGAAAGCAAGACACTGCACTACATACCTTGCCTTCAAAAAAAAAAAAAAAATCCTCTTAAGGATTAAATACATCCTCTTATGGCAGTGAATTTTTAAAGAATGTATTCTATATGGAACAAATAACAGAAAAAAAAGCAAACTATATTTTGTATGCACCAGATGCCAGATTTCAGGGTTAGTATAGGCAAATTAATTTCATCTTTTCCTGTCAAAGAGATTTATAATGGTTTTGATGTTTTATTTTTCCTTATGCTAGACATTTTTACCAGCATAGAATGGGACAGGTCTCAAGTAGGAAAACTTTTGGAATTACAGTCAGAGATAGAAAGGCATGTGGGAGACATTCTGTGTGGGTTCTACCAGGTGTAGTAAAAATGGTAGGGATGGCCTCTACAAGATACTTCTTGTGATTATTGCCCTTTTAAAATACACGTGCAAAAAATATATCAGGCTGAAAATTTATTTAGATGCCTCAAAGAAGAAAAAAAGAAAAAGATAGAGGTAAAGTTTTCAAAACTTTAATCATATAGACACTGTCATTCTCCAGGGAATGAGATAGCCATATCCAGGGTGGAATTAGTTCCTACTATCTTCTATATCTGGTTTATGATGAAAAGAATAATCATCTGAAAATGTATTTTTCTATCCAAATGCTATATAGGGAGTCTAGTAGCAGGCAGACACATAAGCAATCAAGCATCTACCATTTAATCCTGTGTGAGGCGAGTTTTGTGTTGAGTATCTAATGCCCCTTCCAGGCATTCACTCTGAAATTAAATACCTACAATTTTTATTTCTGACTACTACATCTCTAAAACCAGCATTTGTAAATGGAACTGAACAATGTAGGTGCCTTGCTGAGTTTAATGGGAGAAAATGAACCTGATCCCACATTAGTTCTGTTTTGGTTGCAGAGGGTTTAAAATGTGACTGGTGGCTTTGCTGGGTTAGAGATAATGAATATTTTCTGGGCAATCCAAAAGAATGGTCTGAATTGTCCAGTATCAACCTAGAGGACTGAAATCCAATGTAGTACAGAGGAGGGAGTTCCCTTCCCTGGAGGTGTCCAAGGAACAACTGGATGTGGGTGGCACTCAGTGCTCTGAGCTGGCTGACAAGGTAGGGATTGGCCATAGGTTGGATTTGATGACCCTGGAAGTCTTTTCCAACCTTAATGATTTTGCGATTATTTAAAAACAAAAAGAATATCCTTTTTCCCAGTTCCTAACAAACAGACATACATGTAAAATTCACAATATCATTGTAATATTTAGTACAAGGGGGTCCATGGGTTTGGTAGAATCTAAGTTGTCGTAGAAAAGGTTTACTTTTTGATATTTATGATGCAAACATCATAAATATCATGCTCTTCTACACTCAGAGGATGTGGAGATCTTGCGTTATCCTTGACAACCTTGACAGGCTCTTCAGTATGAAAGGAGCAGATATCAGGCTTCGTTGGGTTTTTGAAGGGAAAAAATAGAGCATTGCAAACCACATGTGTTTGGTTGCCCATGTGGTTGGTTTTTTTGTTTTGTTTTGTTTCAGTAAAACAGCCTTTGTCAAACAGAACAAGTAAACCTGGAGATCTGAAAATTTGTGTTGTGTGCAGGATCTAACTTTTGCCAAGATCAAAAGCTACCAAGGCAAATGGTAGCATCGTATTTGGAGCCTCTGACTCCACCACGGCACTGTTGTCCCTCAAAGATCAGAGGGTTTGTAAATCCCTGTTCAAGGCCTGTGGCTTTCTACACCTTTTATAGAGATGAACTGTGAGGTCTGGGATTTTCTCATCCTTCTCCATATAGAGTTCTTGGCTACTTAGATTGCTCTGTTGAAATTTTGCTGTATATATTTTCCACAACACTTTTCCCCATAGAAACCAAGCATGATGACTTTTAAAAAAAAGCTGTGGAAAATATTTCAAATAATACTAAGCTTCTACTGCTTCCCCCCTCCAAGCTTAATAAAAATAAATATTTTTAACAGACAGAGAAGTTCTCCAAAGACCAGGCTGCATTTTCTTATGACATTAAAAAAAATTTAAATAAAAATTATTTCTTCATTACCTCATTACTTTTTTGTTGGTAGATCCATTAATTTTTCTTTTGATAAACTGAGAAATGTGTAATTAAAAGAAATACAGCATTTTATTTTTTTTTTAAGTAGGGTTGTAAGTGTAAGTAAAATTAATCCTGAAAGCTGTGTCAATCTGATCTCTTTATATGGTGGCACGAGTTCTGACACAGCACTGTGGGGATTCTGGCACTGTGACAAATTTAGAAGCAAAATAAAGACTTGATAGCCCATAACTTATATAATCGACTCTGAATATTTTTTGTATTGCTCTGTTAGCATAAAGTTATAATTTATGTAAGTTGGTTTAATATCAGTCAAGGAATTTATCCAGCTCAGCAAAATGAGAGGTTTTCTCCAAAACAGCTGCTTTAGTGTCAGCTTATACAAGTGGATGAAATGATGGTGATTTCAGCTCTTCATTTACAAAATGGAAAAGACAAGGAACCTGCAGGCAACTCCCTGAGTTTGGGTAATATCTGGGAACTCTTTATGGGTGCAGTGCTTTGATTGTTAGTGTTGGACTGCCATAAATGCTGTAGAGGGGGTCCTATGGATTGGCCTACAATATGGGAGACGGCAGAGAGCTGCTGGCAACTGAAACCAGAGCAGCTTTTTGTGTGAACAGTGTCCAGAGTACAGCCACCCTTCCTTTCCTGGCTAGTGAGTTAAATAAACTAATACAATTCAGGTGGAGAGTGCTCAGCCAGGTCCTGTGGCAAATAAATCCACACTGCAGCCCCTGTCGGGTAATTTTCCTCACACTGGTGAGTCTTAATTTATGAAAACATTTTCCCACACAAGCTATTCCCTCACCATTTTGGTTCTTTTGGGTTCAGCTGGTCAAGCTGATGGAAGCGCACCAGGGTGTGGAAATCAGTGCCAGCCAGGCTGTGGATTTAATGTAACAAAGGAACCAAAACTCAGCGGTTTTGTTAAGAACCGCTTAGAATTTTTTGCATTCTGCTGGTCCCTCCCCAAAGCCATCAGGTGAAGCAGCTTCTGCCTTTAAGCTGCCCATCGGCCACTCAGGCATCCCCCTCACTCCGTGGCCGCGGAGGGGCCACAGCCCGCGGAGGGACCCCCGCCGCCGGTGAGTGCCCCGGGTAGCGGCGAGCGCGGGCGCCCGAGGACGTGGAGCGCCCT